GTATTGTGCACATTCAAACACAACCTCTGTGATGTTACAAACTTACAATTTGTATATCCACCATGCTTTTGTATACATAAATAATCATCGGCAAACATTTTGTTTTCTTTGACTGGCATTTAGAAGCTGGTATGAAAAGAAGAGAAATGTTGCATCTATCGCAATAAAGAAGTTGTATATCCATCAAAAATTGTTCCTCTTTAAACACTGTGATTGTATATATTATTCCTGTTATCTGACTTTATACTACAGGCCTGTGGCCTCCTCAGAACTGGAATAAAAGAGATTTGAGATATTACTATTATTGAGCTCGTATATCATGTATATGATTTTCTTTTAAATTGATAGACCACTCATCAGTTTCGAATTTTAAACAAAAAAACTGTTTGACGACAGCTTGAATCATGCTATTGCCAGATCACCTACACACGTGTTTACAGGTCTTGTGGTTATGTTGTTAAAATCTGGTTGTTAGGGGTGAAACGGTACGTTCTTACCACGGTACAGTATGTTTTGTGGTACAAGGCCTTCGGTTCGGTTCCGTCTGTTTCAGTTTGGTATATATGAGAACTTACTTTAGAGAAAATAACAGCCTTCTGGCCAAGAAATGCATAGAATTTGACAAAATGATTTGATTTCTAGACAATTTAGAAAAGGTTTTAAAAGGTTAATAAATGACAGTACGAAAACCAAAAATACCGAATTTTGGGATTGCTCTGTTTGATTGGCATTTACAAGTTAGTGACTAATAAGAAAGTAAGATTGTTTATGGATAACAACTTCTTTTATTATATAGGATGCGATGTTTCGGTAAGGATTCTTATAGTACTTATACTATTGTCAAGCAAGAGTGAAGTACTACAGCACAGAAATTAAGTGTGTATATAAGTCTGTTTTGTGCTGTAGTACTTCACTCTTGCTTGACAACGGTATAAGAATCCATACCGAAACGTCACCTCATATATAATAAAAGAAGTTGTTATCCATAAACAATCTTACTTTCTTATTTTTGGATTGCATTACGGTATACCGAACCGAAGGCAAAATACATGGTTCTACTAATACCGTGGTATACCGTTTCACCCCTACTCGTTAACATCACATGTCCACTATGGTGATTCTGATTTCTGAAACTGGATCAAGCATGAATCTGTTGGTTACCTCGGGACAAACTTGACCAGTTTAGACAGCCACTGACAGTCATGATAATGGGCCACGTTATTTGCAGCACATTGATGCGGTAAGGGCATCAACTTATTACTGTAATCAGGTTACTGGTAGTGCTACCTCTTATACTGCTCAACTTACAACTACTTCACGTGACATTAATTAATAGATCACACTGTTTTATAATAAGCATGACAGTCAAAGGGTTCTCTTTAAACCTTGATGGCAAGAATAGGTTTTGCATGGTAGAGGAATACAACTGTTATTAAAAAAACACCTTATTTTCTAACACTGTAGCTCTGATAGAAGCACTGGTAGACATAGTGAGAGAATGACCTCTAAGTCCCAGGCTATATTTAGTGGGGACAGCACTTATTCAATTTGTTTGGAGCTTTGTGTTAGCGACATGGCTCTGATGTTATTGCATGGTACAGATATCAGAAATTGATGGGTTCATTACACGGCTTTTCGAAATATAAACCCTCAACAGGATGTGGGTCAAGATCACGTTGATGCATAGCGCCACAAATTGGAGATTATACAGCTTCAAGAGCTCGACCCTCAACAAGATGTGGGACTAGGTGGTGTTAGCTTGAGGAATTATAAATTGGTGGGTTCAATACATGGCTTCAAGACCCAGCCCTTCAACAAGATGTGGGACTAGGTGGGATCATAAATTGGTGGGTTCAATACACTGCTTCAGGACCCAGCCCTTTAACAACATGTGGGACTAGGTGGGATCATAAATTGGTGGGTTCAATACATGGCTTCAAGACCCAGCCCTTTAACAACATGTGGGACTAGGTGGGATCATAAATTGGTGGGTTCAATACACTGCTTCAAGACCCAGCCCTTCAACAAGATGTGGGACTAGGTGGGATCATAAATTGGTGGGTTCAATACACGGCTTCAGGACCCAGCCCTTTAACAAGATGTGGGACTAGGTGGGATCATAAATTGGTGGGTTCAATACATGGCTTCAAGACCCAGCCCTTCAACAAGATGTGGGACTAGGTGGGATCATAAATTGGTGGGTTCAATACATGGCTTCAAGACCCAGCCCTTTAACAAGATGTGGGACTAGGTGGGATCATAAATTGGTGGGTTCAATACATGGCTTCAAGACCCAGCCCTTCAACAAGATGTGGGACTAGGTGGGATCATAAATTGGTGGGTTCAATACATGGCTTCAAGACCCAGCCCTTTAACAAGATGTGGGACTAGGTGGGATCATAAATTGGTGGGTTCAATACACAGCTTCAAGACCCAGCCCTTCAACAAGATGTGGGACTAGGTGGGATCATAAATTGGTGGGTTCAATACATGGCTTCAAGACCCAGCCCTTTAACAAGATGTGGGACTAGGTGGGATCATAAATTGGTGGGTTCAATACATGGCTTCAAGACCCAAGCCCTTCAACAAGATGTGGGACTAGGTGGGATCATAAATTGGTGGGTTCAATACATGGCTTCATGGCTTCAGACCCAGCCCTTCAACAAGATGTGGGACTAGGTGGGATCATAAATTGGTGGGTTCAATACATGGCTTCAAGACCCAGCCCTTCAACAAGATGTGGGACTAGGTGGGATCATAAATTGGTGGGCTCAATACATGGCTTCAAGAGCCTGCCCCTCAACAAGATGTGGGACTAGGTGGCGTTACTTTGTGGAATCATAAATTGGTGGGTTCAATACATGGCTTCAGGACCCAGCCCTTCATCAAGATGTGGGACTAGGTGGGATCATAAATTGGTGGGTTCAATACACAGGCTTCAAGACCCAGCCCTTTAACAAGATGTGGGACTAGGTGGGATCATAAATTGGTGGGCTCAATAGTGTGCTTCAAGACCCAGCCCTTCAACAAGATGTGGGACTAGGTGGGATCATAAATTGGTGGGTTCAATACATGGCTTCAAGACCCAGCCCTTCATCAAGATGTGGGACTAGGTGGTTAGTAACATGGCGGTGAGAAGTATATTTGAAATTAAACCAATCAACTGAGAAGTGCCTGAACTGCAAGTCAAGCCCTTGGCTTTAACATCATCACAATATGCAGGTTGTCAAATCCTTGGACTTTCTTAATCAAGGGACATTTTAATTCTGTTAACTAACTTTTGGGAGGTTGTCAGCAAATGATTGTCGATGCCAACTGTTGTGAAGACTGGCAGGTGATAAGTGAGCAGAGGACATGGTCAAGAAATACGTAGCTAACTCCCTCCATGTCAACACAGCCGACACAACCATAAGGAAGTCACATTGACATGAATGATATGTAACTTGAAACATGTCATGTCAACAAGGTCAAGATGTACATAACTTGACAAATGTCATGTCAAGATGATCAAGGTGTTCACACCTTGACAAATGTCATGTCAGGATAATCAAGACGTTCACATTGTGGCAAATGTCATGTCAAGATGTATAGAACTTATCAAATGTCATGTCAAGATGATCAAGATGTTCCCAATGTGACAAACATCATGTCAACATGATCAGGGTGTTCGCACCTTGACAAATGTCATGTCAATATGTTCACAACTTGACAAATGCAATTTTGACATTATCAAGATGTTCACAACTTGAACAAAATCATGTCAACATGAAAATATACACACCTTAACATATCACATGGTATCCTCTTTATCTTTACTTGTACCGCTATTGATACATGACATAATGACTTGTTGCACAAATGACAAAGGACTGAATGCATGGAACCATTGGTGAATCACTGGGATAAAAACACCTGAAACTAGCTGGAACAAAATATTTAAGACACTAGCATCCTTTTCTAATATGTTGGTAACTCAGCACAAAGAGTAAATAGCAGATAGATTAATTTCTTTCGATATTAATTATCATTTTAACATGTTTTGGACAGGACCTGTTGAATATTGTATTGGAGATCCTACAGAATAGGCAAATTCTATCTCTATCAGCAATGGTCAAAATAGGGGACAAACTTCAAGGGGACATGTTGAGGGTTCTAGATGTTTCCAAGATCTGAGTACTACTGCAGCAAGGTTTAGGATCATGGTGACAATAAAAGAAATCTTCACATCTTACTCCAAAACAACACCCTGTAAGTTTTAACACATTGTAAGTGTGTTGTATACAAAAAATGCTTTGAAAATAGTTGTAGATTTACCTTTGAAGTATTAACACTGACTATACTAACAGGGGTATGTAGTAATTCTGCTGTATTAGGACAGATGTGGAGATCTAATATTTTGGGAGTAAAAACATCCACGTCTTCTTGCAACCTGCACAGAACTGAATAAGTGAACAAACCCAGCATAACAACATACTGGGCTGTTTGCGTGACACATTAAGGGTGATATTTAAATACCTGGCTCTTACTGTAAATTGACACCAGCATTTGAACCATATGACAGACCTCTATCTCCTTTCTGTTTTGCTGCAATATACGTCTACTGACTGACACACAGTACTGACACTATGCTTAGCATCACGTGACGTGTGTTGTTACATTTATAAACATGGATATTTGTGACGTGCCCAACATGACATTTATCATACTCATAGTTCGAAAGCTATTAAAAACGGGCACCTGTTTGAACGTAAATACCCCGTTAAAGGGTTATTGTTGTTGTCTTTTGATTTGTAATGCTTACACATAATTGTGACTGCATTTGGACCGCGAATTGATACTTCGATGTGAACAACGTGGAATATTTTTCCACACTGGGGATTCTGTCAAAATCTCCCATGTTTTAATTTCAAATGAGGTCATGTTAGAATGTCAAACGGTGCATGCACGTTAAACAGGGCCGTCGTTTAATTTCACAATATTTACGTAAAAAATATTCTTACCTCTATCCTATTAAAACTGTCACATTATACAACATATCTTCTTCAATGATCTCTTTAAAATTCTGGTTTTCAAATCTACGGAGTTAGCTTCTTATCCATATTCAAAGCACTTCCGCCATTGTCTGCTACCTGACCTCGTGCTGACCTACCACTAGATGGCGCACCAAAAGGAATCCCCATATCTATTTTTAGTATTACGTTACATCTATTTTTAGCAATGTTCACGGCGTTGAAACGGGGAATTCCAGAACAACAACACCGAATCAGAGAGTGGGTTAAAAATTCACCGTCACATCGACATTATTGAAACCATATCAGTACATGGAACAATATACATTGTATTGTAATGTTAAAGTGGGATTGTATAATATAGATGGAGAATGGTACGAAAACTATGCCCCATTCGACACAAACAGTCTAATGACGTGATTAAAGAATAAGGTTGTTGTAATTATTATTTTTCCCACAAGAGTTGTAATTTCTCATATCCCTGACATTAACATTTCATCAAGTGTGCCTGTCATTATCACTCATTCTCAATAACGGGGTGCAAATGCTGTCGCCGCCATGCTTTTGTTATGGTTGGATAATGGTATCAACCAGGCCATCATGCATAAACAGTCCAATAACTCCAAAAGTATATTTGTTACAGCTAAGGTAATCGGCCAATTTGACATGTTCGTTACTGTCGCCGGTAACAAAACCTTACTTTGCAGTTAAACGTAATGCAGTTTGGTATACAAATACCTGGATATTAGTACATTAGGACATTGATATTGGTCAAAGGTTTCATTTTCTGCAAATTGTTTAGCCAATGCATTCGTTTGAGATAAATGAATTTGGTCTAGTGCCATGTCGCCAGTTTTGAGGAAATGTCCGTGACTAATTTTCAGCTTGGCAAGTACATGCAAAGCATAATGATAACCATTCACTTTGAATGAAAGCATCAGTTGTAGATGTCTCCTTAAACAAGCAAATCTTTGAAGGGCATTTAGAAGTGGAATACATAGGAAAAGCAGGATTTTATGGATGTCAACTTCTTTATTGTGAATAACACGACGTTTCGGAGTGTATGCTTGCTCCTTCATCAGGTGATGCTTGCAAGCATCAGGTGATGAAGGAGCAAGCATACACTCCGAAAGGTCAAAATCGGCTTTCAATCGACTTGTAGAAATAACAATAAAAATTGGTAGATGTCATGAGTGATCTATAGGCCAATCATCCATAATTATGTTTACATTAAGTTTTAATCGATTGCATGCGATGGTAGCGTAGCGATCGGCAAAGAAGGCGGATGGGGTACACCGAAGTGTCCGGCCTTGTCATGATGTATTATACTGTGCAGCATATATCTTTAAAATCTTTAATCCTCGCAAAGACACGAGGGCCTGTGTGCCATATAGGAAAAGAAAAAAATATTCAAAGCTTGTGTGTGGTAAATGGTAACTTACTGCTTGATTTGCTAGAAAATGTATTCGAAACTACATAGCTTGTGAAGTTCAGATACTATTTTTCAATTAGTGGTTTATATCTAGTGGTTGGAAAACTATTAAACCATGTTTGCTCCTAATAGACTACACATATGGTTTATGATTAAACTTTCAGAGGATTTGAAAGTATTTGTCACTTCATGGCATTTTGTTTCATATGTAAAGTTTAATTTCACCCAGTCTGGTCAATGTTTGAAAGTTCAGTATGTTTATCCTGCACTGCACTTGCTGGTTATTAGTTAGTTCGCCTAGCAGGAACACAGTCACAATGTTAAGGAAACATGGGTTGTCTCCCCATTGACAGGCACCCATTTGACAGACAGTCGATTAACAGACACTGAACTAGAAGGTTAATTAGGGTAAATTAATGACATGTATTTTCGGCAATCTTTTAAAGTAAATAATATAGCTCCAGTTTTTTTCCTGTGTTTTTATTTGGACTATCCCATTATAATCTGTAGGTAACAGGTAGTAACTAATCTGTTCATTGAACCGTAAATGTTGTTGTTTTAAGGTGTCGGCGAACTGCCTGTCTGCGTAATGGGAGGACACCGAAACATGTACTCTTAGGCTTGGTAATAAGGGCCAGTAGGTGCGTGTATTTATCGGTATGTTCTCATTTCGCCTACATCCCATTTCACCTACAGTCTTAAAACAACATGTCATGGCCTGTTGACTGTTGATTACGCAATGGTGAACTAGTGGTACCCCTATGATCTAATAATGGACTCTTCTAGCTGAAGTAGTTGGAGGACAAAAAGAATTTATTTATTTCTGTTACTTATCATTTTCTGATCACAATGAAATGATAATTTATTTATCTTATATCACATCATATAATCACATCATCTTCTAGTTGAAGTAGTTGAAGGACAAAAAAGAAAAGTTTTTTAAAGAATATATTTCTGTTATTTGTCTGTTACTTATTTATTCTGTTATTTGTCATTTTCCGATCACAATCGTGACATAGTCCATTCTCCATGATCGATCTGTCTTCGTGCCAGTCTGTTCACTGTTTCCAATTTCTTTATAGCAATGACGAATTCATATAAGCACAATATCCTTTAAGTGAGTAAACAGTCTGATATATGTGTCACGGGATTTGCTGGGAAGTAGGGAAAAGGCAACTGGATACATCTGGTCCTGTACAAGGCAGTGCAAAACATACACTTGAGTCCAGAGACTAGGGCACACATAACATGTTCCATCCGTGTACAGTGTTTCGGCCACAGCAAGGATATCCAGCATCTCTGCGGTTGTGAAGATTAGAATCCTGTTGTCATCACCGTCGTCTACCACCAGGAACTGCCGGCCGTCTGAAGTCTCTGTCGTAAAAGCTTCAATTTTGTCTCTATTTGTTTGTAATTATTTTAAAAAACACAATCATGCGCAAGTCTTGAGGTTGTCACTTGTGACAACAGATCTTATCCTCTTTACTCAACTACATATCCTTATAACAACTTAGTATTTCACAGTGAGAAATTAACTACATCTCATCATCGCATGCATTAAACCCTGTCATTTTATTTTAACCCTGTTTTAACCCCTCGGTGGATGCACTAATCCTGTTTACTCAACTACATATCCTTATAACAACAGTCGACCAAGACTCAGTGAGTCAGGTTCCTTATAAGAGTAGGGCTGCATTCTCTAATCCCAATTCGCCTACATTGTTTTTGTAGGCGAATTGAAATGTAGGCGAATAGAGACTAAACCGTATTTATCGGCCTAGGTGGTTATCCCTTTTTTCAAACCCCTAGGGAAAGTTATGTCTATTGTTCTTGGAAGTGTTTTATTAGCATAACTGATTAACTGCCCTGGGGCAATTATTTCTACTTAAAACAATAAAATTGTACTTATTTTGATAATCTTCATTATGCCTAATACATTACACGTATTAAATAAGTATGTCCTCGTGGCGTAAGCTGTTTAATCACCCTCACTACGGTAGTTATTTAAATAAACTCTGCTCGGTTTACTTACGTTACGATTACTCTCAACTATCGTGGAGTTGTTGCCAAAGCCAGAGCAGAGTTTATTTAAATAACTACCTTGCAAGGGTGGTGAACATATACATAACGAACATTTCACTGTTAGGATTCTCTAAGAGTCTATACCTATCTTGTTAGCTTGTTATATTTTCTAAAGCTTTCAATTACTGTTGAATTCCCGTTGGTTTTAAGCAGCCCAATATATGACCTTGGCAAAATGAATGATTTCACTCAAATACAACTTGTAAATCTTCAATGTTTTTGTGATCCATTTGCACCCCGTTAATGAGAGAAAGCGTATGATTGTAATAACAATTCTGTGCTGAGGATACGAATATCCATGCTCTTAGACTAAATCCAAGTCTCCGAATTTATATAATAACAAATAATTTCATATACATTTAATTTAATTTAATTTAAATTGAAAAGGAGCCCTAGTAAGATGGGGGATTCAGAACCTCCGGAACTTGAGGAAATCTAGACTTGCTTCATTTAGACTTAAGCATTGCATAAAGGGCTGGGCGGAAGGGGAGATAATGCTGACTAGGGACTCTGAGACAGACCAGCACGCCCCAACACAACCATTATACCTACCGGTAAACATCAATACAGGAACCAGGCACAGGGGTGGGTGGGGCTGGAGGAACAGGGGTGGCGGTGGGTGGGTGAGACAGACCAGCACGCCCCCAACACAAACATTGGGGAACAGGGGGGGTGGGGCAATTGATTAACATTCTTGTTGGAGAATGACAGAATGTTCAAATCCATATATCGATGATGAATAACAGTGTATTTTCATACATCACCAGTACGTTGGTTTTCATTGCGTGAATTCATCTTTAAACGACTGGAAGCGAATGTGCTAAGTTCATTATAATACTTCATAATGTCAAGGAGTGTATGGTAATTTAAAAACATAAAGAAAGTTAATGTAATAGTTACCTTTTTAAAGCCTGGTGGTAGTGACAGAAACAAATATTTCCATGTCGACACCTCGGAGTTTGATTTATTCTAAATGAACTAGGAATTTCAAGTATTTACTGCACGCTATGGTAAGCATGGCAACCAGCTGTATACACTTCAACCAGTGTGAGTGTTTATCCGACTGATACGTTCAGAATTTGTCTCAAATTAATCAGATCAAGATTACTTTTTTTAATATTTAAATATTATTTTGATATTTAATATTAAAAACAACAGTATCAACTTGAAACTTACTTTTTATTAAATGTAAACAAACATGTAGGCCAGGGTCAATATTAATGTGAATATGTTTAGAATAATATCTTTCCGAGGTCTGGATCGCATATATAAAAATAGCTCTGAATCTATCGTGTAAAATAGAGTGCTGTCTTAAAAAACATTCTCCGTTCAATATATTTTCAGAAAATATCCAAAGATGGTCTAATGTGTGTTATCAGTTGTAATGCCATCTGTCATTTTTGAAAATGAAAATCACGTGTTATTTGGTAACTGTTAATAACGTGTGGATATACACTCAGCAACAAGGTAACAGCTATGACCTATTTTCCCAGACACGGAGACGTACGGTGGCATGCCACGTGCTCGGTGCCGACCCGCGCTAAGACTTCAATCGTTATAAGTCATCAATATCTTGGTTCAGTGCCTAGTGAAAGGGGCAGTGGGA